TGGCACATGGTTTGTCTAAAAGCATATTAAAAACATCACATAGACAAATAAACAACTTGATTTTCACTACTGGGGGACTTTAAGTAGAACGACTGAAATAGTATTTTCCTGTAAAATCTACTCCAATAATCTTTGATTTATTAACTCTGCGGTGTAGTTCTTACATAATTGTATAACGAGAACTCATTTTCTTTGTGTTGTTTTATTGAGCTCCCTCTACAGGACAGGTGTTGACCTGCAGGTGTCATCTTACTTTGCAGTTTACATTTATTTTGAATGTTTTTTTTTTACATTTAGTCATGTAGCAGACGCTTTTATCCAAAGCGACTTACAAATGAGGACAATAGAAGCAATCAAAACCAACAAAAGAGCAACAATATATAAGTGCAAATGACAAGTCTCTGTTAGCCTAACGCAGTACACGTAGCAAGGTGTGTATATATATATTAATTACACACACACACAAAGAAAAACAAGTAGATAGAAATAAAAAAATAGAAAGCTAGTGTTGGTTTTTTTTACATTTAGTCATGTAGCAGATGCTTTTATCCAAAGCGACTTACAAATGAGGACAATAGAAGCAATCAAAACCAACAAAAGAGCAACAATATATAAGTGCAAATGACAAGTCTCTGTTAGCCTAACGCAGTACACGTAGCAAGGTGTGTATATATATATTAATTACACACACACACAAAGAAAAACAAGTAGATAGAATAGAAAAAATAGAAAGCTAGTTTTTTTTTAAATACATTTTATTTAAACTTTTTTAAAATAATTAAAATAGAATAGAAAGTGCTAGAGTTAGAGGGTCAAATAAAGGTGAATATATGTTATTATTTAAAAGCTGCTTGTGATGGGCTTTGGTTCATCATGTGACTTTCTACACACACAAAGAAAAACAAGTAGATAGAATAGAAAAAATAGAAAGCTAGTTTTTTTAAAAATACATTTTATTTAAACTTTTTAAAAATAATTAAAATAGAATAGAAAGTGCTAGAGTTAGAGGGTCAATTAAAGATACAAGTACATGTAGTTAATTAATATTACTCAGTACTTAAATGTATTAAACTGTAACACGGACACTTAGACTTTTTCAGCTCAAACAATGCAAAAGAAGCATTGAAAATGCGGCTAAAAGGACAGTCAGCACAAGATGTAAGGGTGATTGCATTTTTAATTATAGTGATTATACAATCTCCAAATAATTGTATTTTTGCATTCAATGCAACAATAGCCTAATAGTACAGAAGCGCACATCTACCGATGTCTCAGTGAGCCACATTTTCTGAGAGCATCTACAATTACACAACAAATGCTATGATGAGACGATCAGTTCATGGTTCTCTTGCAGGACGCATTAGAAGCATCACTCTTCTGATACCACATCTTGTGGAAGACATTTTCTCCAGAAAACTCCCTCCACGAGAGCTTAGCATCTGTCAGATCATTCTCCTTCAGTATCTGCTCTAGCTGAAGGACAGAATCAGACTTTATTACTCAATGCTCTTGTTACGTTTATCATCATCGTTATATATTTGATTTACAGTATATTAAACTCACCTTTGCCAAAATGTTACTCTTCACTGCAGGATCATTCACATTTTGGCTTGATTTTACCTCCAGTCTCAGCATCTGTCTCTTTTTCTCTGTAAGAGAACGATGAAGCGCTCAAGCCAATATTATCAGCATACACTCGGTTTAAGTGATCACAGATTGATCATGGTTTTGTTACACTAACCAAAGAGTAACCATGCAGTAAAACTGTGGTTACACAAATTGTAGTAAATACAAAAACCATGCTTACACTTTTACTTTAATAAAACCATAATGTACGTAAGGGATTATGTAGCCATCTAATAATCGCAAGAAGCTTTGTGTTTTGTAACTTTCCATAAAAACAAAAACGTTATCAGGAAATGTAAACAAATGTAATTTTGACGCTCTTGTGGTGTGACAAGTTCTTGCTGTTTGCTAGTTACGGCACGAAATGAGCATCTTGTGTCTCATGTCAATTAAACATGCAGCTTGTAAACAACATGACACGTAACATGACTTGAGTTCAGCTCCGCTGGGAGGTTAAATTAAGTGAAATGGTTTGACATTGACTGTACTGCAGCTGCTGCTCACAACTCACCAGTGTAGCAAATAAATGGTAATTTATCTGTACACCAATAATCGCTCCAGTATCCTTTAGCAGACATGCACACACAGTACTGGTGGCCACCAACATTGTTTGGTTGTAAAGAATCCCACGGTGTGAACAGGGCTTTGCTCCCATCGGACCAGACCCAGACCCAGGGAGAATACTCATCCGTCCGATAGAGTCCAATCCACATTAAATTGCTAAAACCACTGGGTAGAGATTGTAACAGCTCATCGATGTACGACTGGTCATTTAAGGTGACGAGATCGGTGTGATGCTGTCTGCAGTACGTCTGAGCTTCGGTCCAGTTCATTTTCTCAGACACCAAGTAAAACACATAAGAGTTCACACCGGAGCTCAGAGCTGTGGAGAGAGACAATAATACGTTCATGGCATGCGATTTATAATGCTGAAATGTCAAATTTAGAATGCATTGGCAAAGTTAAAAGTAACAAAATTCCACTGGAATTTTCTTTAGATCAACCATCCCAGGTGAAAAAAAAGTACACTTTTATAATGTACTTAAAATGCTCTATGTTCGCGCACTAATTTTGTACTCCTTAAGATAAACTTACGATCATCTAAGTGTACTCAACTGTGCTATTTTGGGACATCATGAATATGAACTAAAATGCGCTTTTAACATACTATTTCTATATTTAAAACAATGTGTTTAGTCACCACTTGTAGTACTAGTGTATGAAAGATGGGTTCAAGTGTCCTACTGTCACGGTGTACGAGGAACGAGGAGAACGCAGGAGAATCAGGATTTAACAGTCTTTATTTACATCCAAGATGTAGGGGACTTTGTTTCTTCAGTAGAACACAAACGGAGATTTTTAACTCAAACCGTTGCAGTCTGTCAGTCATATAATGTCAGTGGATGGAAATCACGGCTTTGAGAGTCATAAAACATACACAAACAAAACCAAATTACACCCTGCGGCTCGTGACGATACATTGATGTGTAAAGCAGGGCTCTGAACCGGTTCAAGGAACGAAAACGAAAACTGGAAACGAACGAAATTTTGATAGGAACAGAACCAGAAACGAAATCAAATTTTATAGTTCCGAACAGAATCGAAAATATGAATTGGCCATTAACCGGTTAATAATGTTATTTTATCGTTCCATTTAATATTTGAAATTTGCTGTCAACCAATCATGAATTCCAGTAGGATGGCCTGCAAATGTGACGCTGACGCTGAGTGAAATGCCCGCTCAGCTGTGAACTCATCATAGGTAAGTCACAATGGCAATGCACCGGCGTTAGAGTTTATCCGAGGATAGTGTAAGAAGGATTCAGCAGATCACACGCACCTGCAGCGCTTCTGTGAATGGAGAAAACAGAATAAAACTATAGGCTTACATAAAAAGGAATATATAGGCATATACACTAAATAAATTTTACTTAAATCCTTGACAGATTAACAGAACGAAAGAAAAAAATGTGCTGAGTTACAGTTCATTGTGACGCGTTCCTAAGTTCTCGGAAAGGAAAACGAGACGGCAGAGAGTAGTTTTCTTTATTTTGCAAAAGCTTGACAGTTTTGAATGAGGTCTTCTTCTATCTGTATAACTAACCAGCGTTGGACCATCGCGCCGGCGCCTCACGCGCACACACAACATATTGTTGCGACATTGCAGCCTGTTCATTATCAAAATAAAATACAATTAAAGAAACAAATAAAAAGTTACACTGCTCCGTTGTTCAATCTGTTGTGTTCAGCGTGACCGCGCCTCACTGTGCTGATGTAGCCGATGTGAAGGATGATGTTTTACGTCGATGAAAGCCTACAAAGCCTATAATAAATCATATTTTAGCATCTAGATACTTCGCGAATATGGAAACATTTGGATTCATGACGAATGAGAGCGGTAGGCATCAGTTTCACCTTAAATTAATTTGTTTTTGGATTGACCTTTTTATAGCCTAAACGCATAGCCTTAACTTTAGAGGATTTGTTGAGAGAAACGTCAATAATGTTTGTATACATTTTTGCTTTAGCCTACTGGCATTTTAGCCTACATTATTTCTGAATGTAATATGGCTAATAAAATGCGACGTGAGCCTATACATTTACATTTAGTCATGTAGCAGACGCTTTTATCCAAAGCAACTTACAAATGAGGACAATAGAAGCAATCAAAACCAACAAAAGAGCAATGATATACAGTATAAGTGCAAATGAAAAGCCTCGGTTAGCCTAACGCAGCAAGGTGTGTGTGTATATATATATATATATTATACACACACACACACACAAAGAAAAACAAGTAGATAGAATAGAAAAAAAATAGAAAGCTAGTGTTTAAATACGCTACTTGTGTTTTTTTTCACTCTCAAAACGCTATCTTATAGTAGTGTTTTTTTAACAATGCAGCAAACATTTGTAAATATCTTAAAAATACTTTAATGTCTTTAAAGTGTAACTAGATTTTTTCTTTTGTTTAGTAGCCTACATTTAGCCAAAATCTGACTAAGCGCAGCGGGTTATAGGCTAACGTTAGATCTCTTCCTGTTTTTTTTTTCTTGTTCTTTTTGTCTAAATAAAACGGTGTACATTATTATTATTATTAGCCTATTATAGGCAAAGAAAATTGTTTTTAAAAAATAACGTTATTAACCGTTTTTTCTTCTACCCGAACCGGTTTTGGAACGGTAATAATACAGAGGAACGCAGGAACAGAAACCTTAAAATATAGATTCTGCTCGGAGTGAACCGATTGAATTTTTTTTTCATTTTCAAGCCCTGGTGTAAAGACACAAAACGATCGGTCTGTGCAAGAAACTGAACAGTATTTATATAGTTTTTTACCTCTGATTTTCACCGCAATGTCTGAACTGTCCTGAGCGCGTGAGGAGTCGTCTTCTTCTTCTTGCTTTACGGCGGATCGCAGACTTATAAGAGCATTACCGCCACCTATCTCTCAAGGGGACCAATTGACACTCTATCTACAATCTCAATTAGGAGTGTCAATGGTCCATTTGAGAGATAGGTGGCGGTAATGCACTATTTGGGGGATAGAAAAATATCATTTCCAAGACCAATGAATCTCACCTGAAATCAGCACAAAGATCAAATCAATCCTCATGACGACACACAAATACTCCAACTGCTCTTTTCAGAGACAAGAAAGTTTGTGTGTGATCTTGCCACTTACTAAAGCCCACATATTTTACATTGAAAATAACATTCAAAGAGAGTGAGCAGAGATTTCCATTTGCAAGTCACTCAAGTTACACTTCCATCTAATGTCAACAGATGAGCTAATAACCCATCCGCCACCAGACACACACTGGTAACATGGTAAACACAATAGGGCTTCAAAAAGATCTTAATAAGTACTTAAGAATACGAAAATAGAGCACTGTAAGTATATTACGGAAGTTTTTTCTTCACCTGGGTGCAATCACATCTAAAACCCCCTATGCAGGTTTTCCCACATGGAGTCCGGAGGGAACGTCTCGAAGTATTTTGACATTTTTCCCTCGCAATTCCCAGGAAAATGTTCATGGAATTCTCAGAATTACGAGATAAACTCAACATTTCTGACTTTTTTCTCACAATTCTGATTTCGTTAGTTTTTTCCGCCACAGAACACAAAACTAAAAAAGGTAATTGCGACTTTTTATCTCACAATTCTGATTTCTTGCACTTTATATATCACAACTCACACTTTTCTTCTGAGAATTGCGAATTTCTTAAACAAAAACAGAATTGCAAGAAGAGTTACAAGTGTTCATGTGAACAGCTCGTGAGTTGGTGTGCTCAGTTCTGAGAGCTTCTCTTTAGTCGCACATTTAATTTCCAACATTTCTGTGGACCGCTTACAGAATTACAACAGTATTCAGACGAAGTAAAAGCTTGAGGGTTTGAACGTGAATAATTTAGGAATGTACTTTTAAGAATTTACTTGGTTTTTTTTCTGCATGCCATGTGACCGTCATCAGAGGAATCCATGGCATAACCCATTTCTTGAACATCATAGTTATACGCATGTAAGCTGCAGTTTTAACATTTGGGGGATAGAAAAATATCATTTCCAAGACCAATGAATCTCACCTGAAATCAGCACAAAGATCAAATCAATCCTCATGACGACACACAAATACTCCAACTGCTCTTTTCAGAGACAAGAAAGTTTGTGTGTGATCTTGCCACTTACTAAAGCCCACATATTTTACATTGAAAATAACATTCAAAGAGAGTGAGCAGAGATTTCCATTTGCAAGTCACTCAAGTTACACTTCCATCTAATGTCAACAGATGAGCTAATAACCCATCCGCCACCAGACACACACTGGTAACATGGTAAACACAATAGGGCTTCAAAAAGACCTTCAGGATTGGGTGTTACCTGATTTTAGAAATGCCTACATAAAAACCTGATAGTGTTGAAAAAAATTAACATGGCTGTAAAACCTTAGGTGTATTTTAAAACCCAACACAATCACATGGCAATCCGTAACTATTATCAGTACCACTGTATAACCACTGTAATCAACGTCACAGTATTTTGCTAAAAATATTAGTAGATATAGCAGTAAATCACAGTTACTCCGCACCTTTAAACCAAATGAAAATTCAGCATCATCTCTTTTAGGATTCATTTGAGTATCAGGGATACTCTGATGTAACCAAAACTCATTTGCATTATGCCCTGTACTTAGATTTTGTGTTACAGATGACTGACTAGTAAAAGCAGGCAGTGAAGCAGATGATGTAGGGATGTTTTTTGCTTGTTTTTTAAACAAACAGGACTAAAACAAGTCAACCTAAATTTCCACTCACCAGCTTCGGGATAAAAGCCGAATGCAATCCAGTTTACAATTTATTTTCAGTCGAAAGCAACTTAATTGTGAAGGTAGATTCCTTCAATTTAGGACGTAAACAGGATCACACTTGAACGGAACAAGCCCGTTTCCCGCCACAGTATTAATCCCGAGCTCAAACGAAGCGTTCACATTGCGTGCGCACGCGGATCTAAAATTCACGAACTTGGCAGAAAACAACAGCAAAAGCAGTTTAAACACAGACACACACACACACACACACACAGAGACACTCACACACACACACACACACACACAGAGAGAAGGTAGATTCCTTCAATTTAGGACGTAAACAGGATCACACTTGAACGGAACAAGCCCGTTTCCCGCCACAGTATTAATCCCGAGCTCAAACGAAGCGTTCACATTGCGTGCGCACGCGGATCTAAAATTCACGAACTTGGCAGAAAACAACAGCAAAAGCAGTTTCAACAATGCAAACTAACGGAGTGAACTTCTCAGCCGCTGCCTTAATCAGGCGACTGTCTTTCAGGATTGAAGTCCCACAAGCCACCGATTTCCATTCAGCAACCTAACAAATTCAGACTCATGAAGTGCCTAATGTTGAGCGAGTACAATTAAGATGAGTCTAAATATAAAAAGCAGCTTCTTCGACACTTGACGTGTATACAGGTATAAATAATCTAACGTACTCATGTGAGACTACTTTTCTCAGCGATGGTGAGGATGGACCAATCACAGTCGTTTGTTACTTTCTAGTGGCTCAAAGGAGTTAAGAATATATCCAATACATAAGGCAGAGATTGTTAACTGTATCAGAATTTGACATTAAATGCAAACTTTTTTAGACAGCTAAATGAAGAACGTCATTTGATATGATTGTGCAGCTAATTTCTCAAATACAACAAATAGGCTATTATTAAATACAAACACCTAAATCCAGCATTAAATAAACACGTCCATACAAAGAACTTGAAACAGACTTCATCTGCTACTCTTTCTGCATTTTCACTGTGAACCACTCAAATAAAACAGTCCCTACAGGATTTTTTTGCGATTGCTGAATTTAACGCAAAATCAAACAAACTCCGCATAATTCGGAGGAGATTGCAATTTTTCAAAATTGGCGCAGATTTCCCACAGAATTTGTCATGTGATGTCATCGCAACATGCATTCAGCCGAAGCTGCTGCATCATCCCACTGTAAAGCGTGCATGCTCTCCAACACACACACACACACACACACACACAGGCTCACACACGCTCTGAGTGACGTCTTTTCACAATCACTCACACTCAGACACACTCACAGACACACACACACTCACTCACTCACAGACACACACACACACACAC